CGGAAAAGAAAAGGTTAGAAGCGTTCGAAATGTGGTGTTATAGGCGGATGATGAGGATATCGTGGGTAGAAAAGGTTAGAAATGAAGAGGTATTGGAAAGAATAGGAGAACAGAGGACTTTATGGAAGTCAATAAAAAATAGGCGAGATAGTTTGGTAGGACACCTTCTCAGGCATGAATGTCTAGTCAGAGACATATTAGAGGCAGAAACAGGAGTTAGGAGGGGTAGAGCTGGACCTAGGTTAGATTACTGTTCACAAACAAGTAAAGATGTAGGATGTTCTAGCTTTAGGGAAATGCGAAGATTAGCTCAGGATAGGAAAGAGTGGAGGTATGTGTCCAACCAGTCTTAAGACTGACGACCTTATGATGATGATGAGGTGTCTATCATATCTTTCGGTTTATGATCGAAAAAATTCTATTTGCTTATCTTTTTTCAGCAATTTGTAGGTCAACACTTTGGGGAAATGAAACATTCAAAATATTGAAAAAAAAAAACAATACTGACTTGATTGACTTCCGAAGATTGTAGTACAAAACCAAGCTGAGGCATTTATTTTAATAAAATGTTACCGTTAATGGCTTATGAGTATACTTAAAAACATACAATACCTACACATTATTTGATAAGATACGGAACACCAATGCGTGCGTCAAACTTGCACTTGGTGTATTTCAATATCGCGGAAATGTCCACAATTTGATTAACCAATCAAAGGTGAATCGACTGACTTCAGAGATCAGTTCCTTTCAAGATCGAAGAAAAAGTGTTGCATGGCCACAAAAGGCCCCAATATAGACAAAAATAATTATCATCAGGATATCACGGCCACACTGACCTTCCTTGTGAAGGCAAAGTCGTCAACCTTCTGTTAACATTACGTGCACATTTTGCCTGTAACGTTAAAAGGTCGAGAAAAATACAAATATTTATTTAAATTTACAATCTCTCAATTTTGATAACATACACATTTATATTTATTACCAATTAATAATCACACGATGCTATTTTTCAATGTGTATCAAATTCACGTGTGGAATTTTTTCCAATCCGCTACCACGCAATTCCGGTACATTTTATCTTTTATTGCAAACCTTTGGGAAACCGAAGCTGCATTAATTTATTTCAAAGCGGAAAAGGAGAACCAAAGTGGTTTGAGGGATTTATTACCAGAAAATAGAGTTAAAATAAAACAAAAAAATTTAATATTAATTTCAACTTGATAACTTCACGCGTACCTGAGAATTACGGTCTCGACAGACAGACGGACAACATGCTGATACTTTAAAAATTCCTTTTTTAGTTTTGAGGTACGGAACCCTAAAAAGAAAGCGATCACGGTGACCACAGACTTTTCGAAACTAAATTCCCTCACTTTTCCAGGTTTTCCAGACATCTAATTTAGAATTCCCTGACGAAGTTTAAAAATATATGTATGGTTAATAGACAACTGTATCTAAAGAATATTACTACAAAAATGGGCAATAAGTAAGAGTATTTTCTTAAATCTAGTTGAATGAATATATTAAATAAACATAATTAATTTTTCCATGATTTATCTTTTGCCAGACTTTTCCAGTAAATTGGAAATTCCCTGACAGTTCCAGGTTTTCCAATTTTGCGGTCACCATGTCGATAATATATTTCCCAACCAACACTAGTTTTCACCTTTAAAATTCGATGGATTGTGGACCCCTTTTTAAATAAAAAGATTTCATCTGTAGAATAAATGTGAATACAAGCATGTACTGCAATTGTGTACGCATAAGGGTTCTTTTTTATCCTTTTGGTCCAGTGCCCGTTTATTGAAAATCCAGACAACTGGAATCCAAACCCAAACAATATTTGTGTTATCTCATCAATCTTAGTTTCCCAACACGAAACAAAGCATCATTTTACTAATTTTGTTAGAATAAATGAATAAATAGGAAAATAACTCCTATTTGCTTGGAGCAGATTATTCAAATCAAACAATCCATTATTTCAGAAAATACTACAAACGGCACAGTGAACGCCATCTGTAGCACGATGCTACATTTTAGGATTACGTATTTCGTATTATTTTAATCCATTATTTATTTATTGTGTACTTTCTAGCCACTAAATTGGTGTTTCAACGGTATCGTTGTTAATGAGTTTCATAAAGAAAGTAAGAGAACAAGTATAATAATAAGTACGTAATGTATATTTGCCTTCACAAAGCAATTAGGAGCCGTTTGAAATACATATTGCAATGATATACATGGTCAGTAAAATCAGCAGACTGAAAACGTGAAAGTGTTAGTATTTAAACAGAAAGCCCATTTCTATAAAGATTAAACTTGACCAGCTTAGAACAAGATCTCGTTTCAATCGTAACTGAAACTTTAATTAAAAATATACAATTTAATAGTCTTCTTACTTTTATCACTCTAGCTTCCAGATAATCAATCGGCGACAACCTTTTTATGTATTGTCGAAATCGGCATCTGAATAAAAACTTACAAAGCGAAATTACGCTGACCATTGAAAACGACGAGATGATCACTCACAAAAATATGCTAATAATTAATTCATCCTACACATTTTCCTTTTTTTTTGCATTTTTAAGATAAGGTTATCGTTGCAAAGGTTGCGCTGATTTGAAATTGAATCGGACCATCCTTTCCAACCCTTCTTGAGGTCAAAATCACAAAACAAAATAATTGCTGATTTAAGCAAATAAAACACTTAAATGAGTACAGAGCCAAATTCTATGCTCACAATTGCATTATAGTAAAAGGGTAGTAAAACATTATTATTACTACTGCGTACAAAACAGTAATAGATTGATAATCATACAGCCCAATCCGAATATTTATGGTTCAGGGTTTAGGTGACCGAATTGGGTTTGATACATTTCTTTTCGGATTATCTCGAATATATATAACTTCCATCTGAAGATCACATTTTATTTACTCAAAAAGTAACATTAAACAAAATGTTAACCACTAAACATATGAAATACCTATGACAATCCACGTATACAACTAGGGTTGCCACCCGTACTTTATTATAAAGTATTGTACTCTATTTCGACTGTGCGTACGTTATACTTTACAAGACACATAAAGTACGCAAAAATACTTTATTTAAGGCCTTAAGTAAACATCGTAATTTTGTAAGCGATTATTCGAAATTCAGAGTATTTTTACATCAATAATATTGCACAGAAAAATGGCAAGCCATATTTACGGAACAACCTGATTTCCCAAATCTGTTCAAAGTAGTGTCACTTTTGCTGTCCGTTCCGGCCACTTCAGCATTTACAGAAAGAGTATTCTCTGTTATGAACGCAAAGTGGCGGGACGACAGGAATAAAGCTTCATTAAAACTAATTAAAAATGAACTTTTAGTTTACTTAAATCTTTGTTTGCCATGTTTAGAGGCTATTAATGTATTTAAGAGCGACAGCAATTTGTTACTGGCTGCTAGGTGTAACAAAAAATATGTTTTTAAAAACAAAAAATAAAATACTTTATTTTTATGCTGAGTAGTTTTTTTTTTAACCATTTAGTCGAGAAATACTTTATGTAAAGCCTGAAAAGGTGGCAACCCTATATACAACATATGAATATGGCCCACTCAATTTACTTTTTTTCAACATATTAAAAATACATTAATGTGAAGCAATTTCAAACTAATTTTTACCACTACAGATAGCCTTAAATTAATAAGGAAAAATCGTTGCTGCTGTCACAGAATCGTCGAACAAGTTCATAAACGTAATATAATTAAAAAGATAAGAAAAAATATATACACACGTATACATTTCGCCATTTTATAAGCAAACGCGCAGTTTTCGTCACCTCTAATTTAGTTCACAACTGCACAAACTGTTCTCTCAAAATAAATACACACGAGATGCTTTTTATTTAAAAAGATGTTTGCAAACTAGATGCAATTCAGTTATTTCAACACGTATGTTTATTATGACACAAATTTAACATGCCTGGCATTGACTATCAGTATCAGCAAATATTTAATTTGGTAGTGTCATAAATAAAAAACAATTTTTTTGAATGATAATTTTTCAAAATTCAAATCACAGTTCTAAACTGTAGGTACGGGAAGAAATGGCTGGGGTGATCAGGGGCGGAAGGGGGGAGGGTGTTAAAAGTTATACAAGCTTTTAATCTCCTTATCTCACGATTGTCACTGCATAAAAAATAGCTATACATACACCATATTTTTTTAAAATTAAAATCGGTTCGAAACTGTAAGTACGGGAAGAGATGGGCGAAGAGATCAGGAGTGGAAGGGAGGGTGTTAAAAGTTATACAAGCTTTTAATCTCCTTATCTCACGATTGTCACTGCATAAAAAATAGCTATACATACACCATATACCCTATGATGAAATTACAAGAAATCAATGAAATATTTTTGGAGCGATTTTGGTCTGGAGCCCCAATTCCATTAATTGTATGAAATTCCGATATTGTATTAGGAAATGTATAAAANAATATTAATTGAAAACGGGAAGAGAAAGATCCGATGATGATTTCTTTTTCAACTTAATACCGTTTTAATCACTAAATTAATTAAAATTCCAGGATTTAATATTCAAGTGTTTCAGTGAGATTTGTAATGTTGTTAATATTTTAAAAATTGAAGCAAGTTGTAAATATGCAACGTGATAGTCCAATAAGTTTTTTGAACATGTTTATACATACTATCAAAATAGCTATTTTAAAATTAGGATGGCTGCTTGCTTAATAACTCGCAACTTTAATTATTAATGGCCTTAATGGTTTTATTCGTCTACGGCAGGTATATGTATGTATACACAAAAACGCAGTTGGATACTGTACATAGGTTGTGGCAATTCGAAAGTGGGTCATTTCCTGAAATTCAGAAAAAGATCCAGATCCACACTCATTAACCTCACCTAGTCGTTAAATAATGCAAACGTTACGAAAAACCGCAACCTGAAGCAGACCAAATTGGAATTTTCATTTGTTCGGTAATAAATGTAACATTATGATAGCGATTGAACCGATTGTTTCGCATTTCTACATTGAATTGAAAATAGAAAGTGCGCAAGATAGGTCGTTGTTGAGAAATCGACGAAGCTTGCGTAAAAGCACAATCAAGCAATGGTTTTTCTATTATTCGTTTTAGGCCAATTAATACGAAACTTTTTTGGTCAGAGAAATTTTCTTTAACACCTGAAGGCGCAAATACGACCGATATGTAAAAGAAAAACTTGAAAACCTTTTCCCAATAAAACAAACGTACAAATGATTTTTATCATACAGTGGCATAATTTAAGTATTATTGTACCTATGCACTATAATAATTTAGTAGCTGCTGCCATTAAAATGCTCACTTTTTACCTTTTGTAGGTAGATATTATTTAGTTTTTTTATTTTGTTTAGATTAAGTTAAAACAACGAGCACGCAACTTTCTTTTTTTAATAATCGTTTAAAACAATAAAATAAGAAATATTTTTATCAGTTATTATTAAAGGGTACTTACTTATGTAAGCACATTAAATAAAATGAGTGAAAATACTGTACTTAAGCAACGTACCCATACTACATGATACGCCGGGAGGGGAGGTTTTCAAAAATACCACACTCGGTCACTATCCTCTGTTTGTAAAAAATGTTTTAAAACCATATCTACGAATTACTAGGTGACAACTAGAAGGGGAGGGGATTTTTGGCATATACTGCGGGTGGTCACCGAAGGGGAAGGAGGTAAAAAATGAGTCACGTAGTTTTGATGTTTCCCTATCAGCAATAATAAAAAAAGGTGCATATTTTCAACTATACATAGTACCTACACAATATCATCATCGGCAAGTTACCTAAAAATAAGACTGTTTATTTACAGGGCGTTCTAATAAAAAATTAAGATCTATAAATTAATGTTCTGACGCAGCGTTTGGTAATAAAAATCATAATGAAATGACCTACAATAAAACGTACTGTATAAAAATTTCAAAAACAAACCAGACAATTTAACAAAAGTAAGTATAAATGTACCTAAAGTTACAGTTTTGTTTTTAACTAATAGTACCTAGTAAATATTGAAAATTTTAAAAAGTTGCATTTAAATTAAAAAGTGCCTTTTTAGACATCGTTCTCTACGTATGTATATACCTATATAAGGTTCATTGTCAAAACATAAATCACGCGAAGGTCATTGATTTATATTACATTAAAGAAAGGTGGGTACAAGCTAGTACACTTATCATTTGTTAAGTACTCGCCTTTATAAAGTAGACCTTGATTAATTAATACCTATAATGGGTAGGTAATATACAAGCTTAGGTATTTAACAAATTGTTTTGGAAATATAACATTATTTTGCCAACGTACACGCATTTTAATCACTAATAAATATGAGAAAAAACAGAAACTACCATAAATTAATTAATTGTAAGACATAGAAATTACTTTGGCAAACAGATAGGTAGGTACATGTTAAGATATGGTGATACATATTTAAAAATTAATTTGCTGACCAAAATTACTTCTAAGAAAGGATAGTTCTCAAATATCAACAGTTTGGATTAAGGTTTTGTGGTTTGGTTCCTCATTATATGATTGTTTACATCTACCTTACCAAGATAGTCAGCAATAGAAAAATAATGACATCAATATCGCATTTAGCAAATTTAACTAATGGTTATTTTCTTTTTTTGTATCTAAGCTGATTAATTTGTAGAATATTCAAAAACGAATTTCAGGTGGTTACTACTGTCTATTTTTATAACAAAGTTATTTTTAGATGTAGTAAGTTAAATGAAAATTGATCTTCAGGGTGATAAATGCTGTATAAATAGATGAAAACGACAACAAAAAATTACCTTAAAATATCCACCCATATATAAAGTGTCAGGGGGGCCAAAAATTGCTACTTCCCATTCGAAAAGATTGTCTTCATTAACTAACTTTACACAAAAACCTTCAACTGGTTCTTCTTGTAAAGACTTGTATTCGACTGCTAAAGCACGAAGGGCACTACTCGTTCTCAAATTAGCCATTTTCGTGTAAGTTTACTGTCTTTTCTTTAAAAAAGATACACTTGTTCACTTTTGTAAGTTCGTTAACTTATTACGACGCCATTGAACCGACACACTAGAATAGGATATAATTCTGTTTAAAATTATTTATCTTGACCATTCTCGATATAAAACGTTAAATTACAACTTAATAATTGCAAAAATATGATGTATAATTGGAAATAACTCTAACAAAGTGACAATTAGAAACAAAGAACTACAAATAGAAAAACAAGGTACAATCCTTTGTCACTTGCTACTCCACTCTACGTTATTTTTCTTTTCTAACAGTTAACAGCTGTTACACCAACGACTTGCGCATTGACTAATACATTTAGTTAGCTTCCTATTTTAAGGATCCAGAATATGATCCTATTAAGTCTATTCTGTAAATCAAATTATTTTGTTATATTGTCAAAAGAAATAGTTAAATTAAAGCAAATTGATGAGTGTAGTACAAAGAAATAAATAAAATATCTTTATAATAGCTATTTATGAAGAAATTTGTATTATAGGTTATAGTCCACACGATCATCAGATGACTGAATGCATCTAAAAATCTTTCAAATAAACATTACAAGTTATCTTTAACTGTTCTTAACCTTTAAATTTTAAACTTCAAAAGTATATTTTGTGATGATTTTGTAAAATTTTATTAATCACCCAAATATGTTAAATATATGATAATTTAAATATTTATTCCTCGAAGTAAAATGTGTGGAATATTTTGCACTTTTACCGAACAAAATTGTTCTCAATGTCTCCTATTAGAAAACGTAAAAACGTGCAAAATAGCTGTTTTCTTATTATTAAACATATTCCTTTCTAGCATAAATTATGTTGTAAAGCTATTAATAATAGAGGACCAGATTTTCAACGCACCATATCATTAAATGTGAATGATTTGCATTTTATTTTTGCTGTTAGTGTATTATGGCTCCAAGGAAAGAATTTAACAGAACAACCAGTACAAACTAATAATGGAACATTTATGTATAATGGTGATATATTTGATTATACCAAAGAAATATGTGAATTTGACCCTTCAGAAAGTGACACCCTAACTCTAATGAGGTTTATAGAAAGTGAAGGTATATATCAAGCTCTTTCTGTTTGCAATGGCCCCTTTTCCTTTATTTATTTGGATACGCAGTCTTGTAAATTACATTTTGGACGTGATCATTTCGGCCGTCGTTCACTTTTAATTGGAAAATTAGATAATATGTTCATAATTACAAGTTCTGCAAAAAGAAAATCTAATTGGGAATTCATTGAACTGCCTCCTCTTGGAATATTTAGTTATGACATAAACGCAAAAATGTTTGAATTAACTGCTTGGGAGAAAAAGTCGGAGAATTTTGAGCAAAAATTAAAAGAAGTGGAAAGCTTCTTAAACAGTAATATTAATCTCAAAGATCAACACAATGAAAAACAGAAAATAAATTTCAGATTGCCATATAAGGAAGAGCTTAACATTTTTGAACAAATAAAATCTAAAGATTTTGAAAGCAATATTAGATTTCTATTTAGCTTAGAACAATGGTTTTCTAAAGTAACATTATTGGAAAGACTCTTAAGGGAGGCAGTAAGAAAGCGAGTGCATATTCAACCAAAAGAATGTAGCAGTTGTATTTTTAAAAAGGAGTGTCACCATGCATTAACTGGTAATTATTCTTTTCATTTTTCTGATAACACTAATATAATTTGTTGGAAATGTAATTGGAATATTTCAGGTGTTTTGTTTTCTGGTGGCATAGATTGTGCAATATTAGCATTCCTTTGTGATAAATTCAGCAGTAAAGAACGCCCTATTGATTTAATAAATGTCGCTTTTAGTAAAACAAACAACTACAATACCCCTGATAGAGAAACTGGATTAAGTACCCTTGAAGAACTCAAGGAACTGTGTCCTGATAGGAAATGGAATTTTGTGGAAATAAATATTTCTGAAGACAAATTAAATGAAAAAAGAAATCAAGTAATTGCCGATTTGATTTACCCGCTAAACACAGTACTGGATGATAGTTTGGGCTGTGCATTATGGTTTGCTGCTAGGGGAGAGAATTCTACATATAGGTCAACATGTAGGGTGAATATTTTTTTACTGTTATATGATGATTATTTCTTGTTAGGGACAAATAAAACTATTTTCCCAGTAAAGTAGAATTTACATTAAATTAATCAAATAATAAATATGCAAGACCTGTCAAGAGGTAAGCTACAGGTGTCATATTTTTAGGCAAGTTGTTACTGACATATACATATCCCTAAAAATGTTAGTCGTTGTACAGGTTTATGAGTAAAACAGGTACCTTTTTATGATTAATTTTTTATTGAATACAAAATCTAAGTGATAAATTGAGAATTAAATCGGATATTTCATTACTTATCTCTTATATTCATCGATATGATTTTTAAATTATGATTAAAAAAGCTGTTTGTTGAGTAGGTTTTATTAGTCGGTATGGGGGCCGACGAATTGTTTGGAGGTTACAAGAAACATAGAAAAGCCTTAAAAACAGAAGGCTGGCTAGGATTATTTAAATCTTTGGAAGATGACTGGCAAAATTTACCTCATCGTAATTTGGCGAGGGATGACCGTGTTGTTTCTGATCATGGAAGACAATTGCGAACTCCTTATTTAGACGAGAATGTTGTTAATTTTGTTCGCAATCTAAATTGTTGGGAAAGGTAGATTTAAACCATATTTTTTTATCAGTTTTCTTTTGATAAATTGGAGTACTTTCAGAACGTATCCTGCGGACGATGTGCTACAAGGGTTTGGAGAAAAAATTTTGTTGAGATGTTTAGCGTACAAACTGGGTTTCCGAAAAGCTGCATTTCTAAAAAAAAGAGCGTTACAATTTGGTTCACGAATAGCAAACAGTAAGGAAAACGCAAGGGATATCTCACCAAGACTTGTTTTATCATAAAAATATTATTAGAACTGTCCAGTAATGTATTTGCCTTATTTATAGAAACAATATATATATACTTATGTAAAAAAACTTTACAAGCTGACAAAATGATTTTATTTTAGTTGAAGTTGTGGCTTTTCGTTTTCAGTTTTCGAGTGTCTGGCAAGGTCTTCATCATCACTAAAATATTCTGCAAAGTCGTCTTTGTGTGATGATTTTGCGGAATATTTCCTAGACGTATTTTCAAAATTAATATTTTGGTTGAGGGCTTCAATATTGTGGTCTGAATTTGAATTTGAGAGTTTTCCATAAATTGACATTGCCTGTAAATAATAAAAATAGAAATATATAAATAACTGAATTCCTATCATTACAAAATGAGTTTTTTTGGAATTCTATCAGTATAATTCCTAATTCTCAACATGAAATCTAATTTAATTCTTAAATATTTACAATAAGGGATCATTCATAATATACGTTCTCTAAAGAGGAGGAGGGAGAGGTACTGCTTAGGGTGACGAAATATGACTACGGGGGGAAGGAGGTATATTGAAATGTGATGTTCGCAGTTCGTCAACATTGTGTAATATTTTTCTTAACTTGGAAGTTGTTAAAACATTTCATTACGATATAAAGTAATTCTTATTACTATTTCAATCATAAAAAATCGTTTATAACTAGTTTTTGTGTCATGATATTTGTTAGGGGATCGCTGAAAGTGTGACTTATCGTTAGCGTGACGAAAGGGGAGGAAGGGGTCCTAAAAGGTGAAATTTTGATTGATGTATTTTAAGGATGACCCCTAGAAAGAAATAAATATTAATAACTATTTAAAATAAAAACTTTTAAAGAAATGTTTCTGTATGAAGTAGTCTATTTTAAAAAGGTGAAAATTATTTGTACACACCTGTGCTACCATACTCGAAATATCTCCAGCGTTTGCAGGCAAAATAAGAGTGTTATTTACCCTTGCTAATTTATTGAAAGCTTGTACATACTGTTCTGCAATAGTTAAGGAAGCTGCATTTTGACCTCGGTGTTCATCCAAAGCTTTAGCTATAACTTTTAAACTGTTTGCCCTAGCATCGGCAATTGCAATAATTCCTGCAGCTTCACCAGCTGCTTTATTTATCTGTTCCTGACGTTCTGCTTCTGATGCCAATATCCTGGCTTTTCGTTTTCCTTCTGCAACATTGATATCAGCTTCCCGTACTCCCTCAGACTCTAAAATTGCAGCCCTTTTCTTTCGTTCAGCTTCTACTTGCATTTGCATTGCTTCTTGAACTCTTCCAGGCAATTTAATATCTCCTATTTTTTTAGAAAGTATATTTACTTATTTTTAGACTTCTAATTTTGTAACTTACTTATTTCATATCGAAGGCAAGTGATTCCCCATGCTTCACTAGCCTTATTTATAGCTTCAACTATAGATACATTCAAATTTTCCCTTTCCCTAAATACTTTATCTAAAGAAATTTTTCCCAATTCTGATCTCATAGTTGTTTGTGCAAGCTGTGTAATAGCAAATTCAGGATCTTCAACCCCATAACTTGCTAAATAAGGATCAATTATTCTTAAATATAGCACACCATCTATACTTAATGTAACATTATCTGATGTAATAGCACTTTGTTTTGGAACGTCAATTGCTATTTCTTTTAAACTTTGAACATATTTAACTTTATCAATAATTGGAACTAAAATGTTTAAACCTGGTTCTAATATACGATCAAACTTGCCCATACGTTCTACAATCCAAGCCTGAATGAAATGAAATATATTTATTTACATTATTAAATCCGTACAGAGAATCAGATACAACAATCTTACCTCTTGCTGAGGTACAAACATTAAAACAGTATTAATTGGAGTTGAAGAACGATGACGTAGTGGCAGGAATTGAAAATAAACATTTGTATTTGCTACATGATTTGAATTCTGTAAATGTAGTTGTTAATAAATGTTCTGATTTATTATAAAACATATTACCTTTAAAAGACTTGCACACTTGTACAAAACTCTTGCTCTATTAAACATACTTCTGATATATTTTAAACTACAATTGGTTTAAAATAGTTATACCTCAAAATAATATGATTTTAAATTATTTGTACAAGACCGAATATTAACCAATATTTTTCTTATAACCGCTATAACCTCACTATCTATAATCTGTAGATAATAACCCAAATGATATGCCCATTTTTACAAGTGTTTTTTTTTTTCACTGCAATTTAAGACTTTCGTTTTAATTATTTAATGACGTTCGTGACAATGCCGCTAAACTTTCACTTTTATTTTCTAACATAAATTTTATTTAACCACAACTTGAACACAGAGACAGATAAAAACGAATGTTTTATTTCCAGTGAAGTATTTTGTTTTTCATAGAGAAGTATAACTAATGCATACGCAGAAAAATTACGACAAAAACGCATATTAAATAAATAATGAAATAAAATTTAAATAAAATAAAACAAAAAAATTTAATATTAATTTCAACNACTTGTACAAAACTCTTGCTCTATTAAACATACTTCTGATATATTTTAAACTACAATTGGTTTAAAATAGTTATACCTCAAAATAATATGATTTTAAATTATTTGTACAAGACCGAATATTAACCAATATTTTTCTTATAACCGCTATAACCTCACTATCTATAATTTATGCTCACCATCATCCCAATACTTTCCGTTTTGTTTATAGAATTACTGTGGTCAAGTTGAAAAAAATCCCGAATTGAAAAAAAATAATGAAATGCAAAAACTTATTATTGTACCTTTTCTTATAAACAAATTACCAATAAAACTTCAAAATTATTTAAATTACTTTTAACAAATGTCCATTTCTTTAGCAGTAGATGGCGCTAAACAGCCAATCAATTATTTTTAAAAATAATTGTGAATAAAAAAATGAATTGTTAATTAAGTAAAAGCGATTTCAAAAATAGAAAAAATAAATTTTAATTATGGTCACTTACTTGACAGTTAGTTTAAATGTGTGATTAATGATAAAATAAGTACTTTTGTATTGATCAAACTTTAGCGTTTGCTGAGTAATCATTTTATTCACTGATTATTTTTCTTCCGCTGTACATATTTTTTTATGAGCGAGAGAAAGTTTTTCAAAACCCCCATTTTAAAATGGACAGTTGTATAACAGAACTAAAGAAATTAAGTAACATACAAATTAATCTTGAAATATCCGAAACAGCTTTTCAAGAGTTTATGGCTAAGTATGAATCAGAAATATATGCTTTCTATTCATCGTTAAAGCAAAAAAGGTAACTTTTATCCAATGAAATGCTCATAAACCGTTAATTAAAAACTTGTAGAGAGGCTGAAATATTTCAACTGAGAAGTAAAATTGATTTAATACAGTCACAGTTCAAAAATATTCATCTTCAAACTGAAAATATTCAAATCTTGAGTACGTTTTTCCATGTAAAATAACCATGTATATAAGGAGAGAATAATTTTGGGATCATGATATTGAAAAAACTACGATTAAATATTTTGAAATGTATTTAACTATTACTTTAAGTATAAAATTTCTTCCTTATAGTATTTGTTACAGGACAAAAATTTTTTTTGTAGATTTACAGATGTTAAAGAAAGAAATGATAGACGTTCAAGAAAATGTACAACAACTAAGACAAGACTGTAAAATTAATTTGGAAAATTTAAATCACGAAGAAAAGTTAATAACAGAACAATTATGTAGTTATGAAAATAAACTCTTAGACTGGGAGAAAACCATCAATACCAATTTAATTTATCTAAAAGGAAAAATGCCATCTGCAAATAGAAAAAAATTTGCTTTTGTAATTGAAGTTTAAGTGGATTTATAACTTAATTGCGTCAACCGCATTAAAATATTTAATATTTGTAATTTTATAGGAAGTAAAAGAATATTTGGATTTTGTTAATCAGTTTGGACTTGAAGGTGGTTGGGAAACTGGTGATCACAGTTTATTTCTCAAAGTAAGAACTAAAATCAAAGAACCTCAAAAAACTGCAAAATATCTCAACTCCCTAATGCCAGGTTTTTCAGGGAAAAAAAATAATATTTTGAAAATAGTCATTTAAATAATGTTGTAGATAAAAGCATAGAAGTAATTTTAGAGCATGAAAACTGGTATCAAAAATATCTTAATTTAAAAGAGAAACAGCGGAATGTAATTAAGCAATGGAGATGTCAAACTGCCCCTACAGTGGCGGGAAAAAATGATTTGAAACCAACACTAAATATCTATCATAAAGAAGAATATAACAGAGAGAAAAATATCCAACGAATTAGTAAATGGAAGGTGAAATAACTGAATAAAAAATGCTTTCGTTTTCAAAATTTTTTACTGTGTTGTAAGATAGTTATATGACCACCTTTTTTTTAGGATGAGAAACAAAAACTATTAATTAATAAAGAAATGGAAAATCAGAAAAATGTAGAACTTCAGAAACAAATCGAAGAGAAGAGGAAATTACAATACAAAGAAAAAAAAGAAAAAGTAGCTGTATGGAAAATAGAAAAAAAACGAAAACATTTGGAAGAAAAATTACGAAATGAATTATTGAAAAATATTGAGAAAGAACAAAAGTAAATGTTTTCCAAAAAATATTGACACATGCATAACCAAAATTATTCAGAGAATTGGATAATTGTTGATAAAAATAAAACGATTAACGAATTTCACACTGTAATTAATTTATTTATAACTAAATAATAACTGATAAATGTCGACGGTGTTAATACATATGCATTTTATGCAAAGCAAAAATAAAGTTTGCAAAATAACTTCAAATTATTAACTGACAATCGACCTTCTGAAGAATTTTGGTTACATAATTGTCAGGATATGAAACATGCATCATATATAATTACATAACTGTTGTACCGCCTACTTATTTTAAGGTCTACAGAAGCTTTAAAAGCCATTAAATTATTTCAAAGTAAAGACGATGAATTTATTGAGAAAATGAAGAAGAAAAGAACGAAACAAGCAAAATCTACTATTGGTCTAATAAGAGGTAAAATATCTGCCCCAAGAGACCCAGAAAGATTATTTAAACCTACAAAGCAATGGATGCAAAGATCAAAAAGAAAAGAAATCCGAAAGGGTGCAGTTATAACATTCCCAATGGATATTAAGCAAGTCCCTAAATTGTAAGAAAAAGTAGTAAAGTTTATTATCAATTATAGTTAAATATTCCTTACAGATGCTTGCCAATGTGGAGGAAAGGAGTTCCATTATTACATTAATATTAATAAAAACTAAACAAGTGTGCTGTTTTCAATATCACATTTTCATATATTTTTCAAGTGACTGGTATATGTTTTGTACACTCTTTTTAAAAATATTTATAACACTTAAAAGCCTTCAGTATTACTTATTACAAAGAAAATTAAAAACCAGTCTTTTATTATTAAATAGTCCATTAGTGTCTAAATAAATTAAATAATTGCTTTCAGTATAAAAAGTCTTATATATAAATTAATTCGTATGCATAATATAAAATATAACAAAACTACAAATAAGATATAAACATTACTTTTTAAAATTGGAAGTAAATCTATTCTAAACATTTTAAATCAAATTGTAAAGAACTCTCGGCTTTGGTTTAAATTATTTTAGATCTGATGTTTGTTAAGAACATAAAATTGAAAAACAATGTTTCATTTTAATCAGTACTTATCACAAAAATGGGATGGTCATTTATCACATTTGTTTTTGAGTAACTAATTTTCTTGATAGCTTATTTAACGAACAAGTTATACGCATTTAATTTATTTCCTGTAATTTATAATAAGTAAGAAATGCTGCTTTTATTTTTTCAATGTAAAGATTCAATATAGACTTCTTAACAAGTAATTAATAATAACTTATGTGTATGAATTACGTCTTGTAAATATTGGTTTGTCAGATGCTGCAACGTTTGTGTTTTCAAACTGACGCAAATGAATCTAAAATTGTAATTTACTTTATTCATGTTGCAATGAAAGAATATTTAAAGATTAGTATTTTTTTCATTAACAATGTTTATGTTCTAGTCTTTAGCAAAAGAATACTTTAAAATTAACAGTTTATTTATATTGATTTTAATGAGACTATAGAACTTTCAAAATTAAAAATTAAATTAAAACTTTTCAATAAATTGATTAATAACAGCAATAATAAAAATTCTTACCAATAAATGCATATTAACTTCATCACATCGACTTAGAAAAGGAAAATTCCCTCCTGATTTTAGATGAGCCAGTTTTGCCTGTGGATAACATTTGTAAAGTTCTTCACGAACTGCATTGGATAAGGCATACTCATCAAATACATCCATAATAGTAACTGGTATGTTGGATAATTTGTGAGCTTCTACATATCCTTTGATACAATTTAATGTTAATCTACTAGCAAGTTCAGTTTGTGGAAGACTTTCAAGCTAAAAGATATACTATTAATATTTTATTTAAAAAAATATTTTAAACATATTGCTTACACGCTCCACCATAAAATCTATAGCTTCAATTATTTCAGCATCAACCTTTTTAGTCATAAAGTTACCCATTACCATCCGTTTTAATACAAGTCCTGGTAATATCCAATAAATTGCAGCAGATTCATGGCTTTTAAATACAGCAGTATCAGTGAATGTGTTGCATAACATTAATGAAGCAACTCGAGGACATTTGTAAGTATGTTCTGCAAACTTTTGAGCAAGGTAACCTCCTAAAAAGAATGAATATAATTATAAGTTGTGATTTATATTTTATTTATTGTTTATTGCTATACCTAAAGAAGCTCCATAAATATGAACTTTATCAGTCTCTAAATAGTCTAAAAGTCTCTTGAATCCTTCACACCATTCTTTAACACTCCAATAAACCGGAGGTTCAGCAGCTATGACCCGAATACCTTTAGCAGACAAAGCTAAAGCTTGTTTAAAGAAAATATCAGCTGTACCAGAAACAGGTGGTAGGCATATTAAAGGACATCTCACTTTTCTTGGGCCACAATCATACACCTTCCATCCCTAATTAGAAATAATGAGATTTTGAACAAACCCTTATCTCAATAACACTAATGAATAATTACTTTTGAATTGTCAGAATCGACAACAATTCGTCGAAGAGGAACACCACTCCTAAAGCTCAGATACTCTTGAGACTGAGATAAATCACTCACATAACTCATATTAACTTTTAAAATAAAAATTTTTGTTTCACTTATTTAGCATTGACTTTGATGTATTCAATGAACTACAACACAATTTTTATTAATATGTAGTACTAATTTACATTGTTCTGAATACCTTTCTACTATAAAATTTCAGGATTAATACAAAAAAATTTGGAAAACTTGTAATCAATATTTTGAGGTTATTAGTCGTTATTTATTAGCAGTTTTATATGGATAATTAGTTAATTATTTGGAGTTTAATGTAATATTTAATTGTATGTAACATCAAATTGATATGATAAGGTCAAATTGGATAAATTATAATTAAGATAAAGTTCACTTTGTAAACAAACCAGATAAACAAATTAGAACACACGAATTTAGACCGATTTTCACTTGGCAAAGTACACAGGTACGCAGTATACACAAAAGCAAATTAAGTTATGATATTTTCAGTAAGATTAAAAAATTAATTCAGAAGTGAAAATACAAAAAGCAAATCTACCCCCACATTTTTCATTTGGTAGTGTCTCTTCTCTTTCGCACGGTCCGATCATCAATCATGTTTATATATTTTATAAATACAAATTTCAAACGATTGACTTAACCATAGATTAAAGAACTTATCTATGACGATTGACATCCTCGGAAGCATTCGACCCATTCCGGGAAGCTCCGGCTAGCAGGAATTTTGATCGGTAATTTCAAAATAATCCGCTGATTAGAACTAACTTTACGTAACTTTACTAATAAATTGTGTGTCCATTACGGGTTCTTCTAAATATATACGTAGCGTAATTATGCCTGCAGAAAAGACACTAAAGTAGATATTCTTTTATCTCTGTAGCGACATTAAATAAATAAATAAATAAAATAATTTCAAAGAAAAGTCGTGAAACTGACTTCCTCCCCTGGAAGTAAGGAAAATGACCATAGCATGAAGTGGATTACTAAAGAATAAGTCATTTAAATGATGTAATTGGTTACTTATTGGACACATTAGGGGTTATAGGACTAGAAGGTAAGAAAAATTCATTAGGAATATGTAATAATAATTTGCTATAAATAAATTACAAAATCACAGTTATGTGGATAAAATTGTCTAAAACAGTTAATTTTTTCAGTAATGTGCTACATTTCAACTTAATTTAGACATGGCACTTATCATAACTCATTTCATTTAAAAACAGTTTTCTTAATAACAGTTTATTTAAAAAAAGGTGTTCATTAAATGTATTACTATCGTTATAATTCCTCTCCTTTCAAAAACTAAGCGTACCCAAAAGAACTGTGAAAGTTAAATACAATATATTTATTTGATATCAAAAGAGAAATAAAGGGTTCAGAAGTACTGTAATATTATATTATGTACATTGTTTAGTAGGGAGGCTAAATTATACCTGAATACTCTCTCATAATACTTCATTTTATAGGAGCATGAAAACTCAGGATGGCATGTGTTAAGAAACATTGCTTTTTTGCATTGGGGACGAAGATAATGTGCTATTGTTAAAAGAAGGACTTATGACATGAATTGGTAAGTAACAATTAAAAATAGTAGATAGGGTCCTAAAAACATCAACTTCTTAGACATTTGTAACCGACTTTCAATGAATTATTTTTTTAATTTTTATTTTTTAAAAACTAAACCATCTATTCGTATGTTATAAGTCTGGAGAAAAATAATAAGGATTAAATATCGTAACAGATGTATATTATTTATTAAAAGTATTTAATTATATTTTCTGTCCGTTTCTGTAGATTATTGCTTAGAAATAAGAGAGATTGGGAAACTTAGTATCCCTTCTCAATTCAGGTAATAATACAAAATTAAATTAGTATTAATCCCACTTTATTAACATGGTTCAATTTGATTAACAAAAGACGTCGTAGAACATAATACGTAGGACGATGAGCATATAATATGTTACTTCTTAGTTTAATACCATTAGATTGTCCTTTATTTAGTTGAGGTTATAGGTAATTATGAACTTCAGTTTATTGAAATTTATTCTAAAAAAGCTGGTTGACGTTTATAACTCCACTACGTTTTGCCGATTTTAACAAAAATTTATACAGAACATCGATTTACACTTCCCATCCCCAATTTAAAAACTTTTTTATTTCTCTTTTCAAACTCTGATTTTGAGAGCCGAATTTTTAATAAGTAATGGAATTCAGAATTGCTATTATAGTCTGACGCTCAGAATACTTTGCAGTGAAGTGGGTTGTCTANGTTATCTCATCAATCTTAGTTTCCCAACACGAAACAAAGCATCATTTTACTAATTTTGTTAGAATAAATGAATAAATAGGAAAATAACTCCTATTTGCTTGGAGCAGATTATTCAAATCAAACAATCCATTATTTCAGAAAATACTACAAACGGCACAGTGAACGCCATCTGTAGCACGATGCTACATTTTAGGATTACGTATTTCGTATTATTTTAATCCATTATTTATTTATTGTGTACTTTCTAGCCACTAAATTGGTGTTTCAACGGTATCGTTGTTAATGAGTTTCATAAAGAAAGTAAGAGAACAAGTATAATAATAAGTACGTAATGTATATTTGCCTTCACAAAGCAATTAGGAGCCGTTTGAAATACATATTGCAATGATATACATGGTCAGTAAAATCAGCAGACTGAAAACGTGAAAGTGTTAGTATTTAAACAGAAAGCCCATTTCTATAAAGATTAAACTTGACCAGCTTAGAACAAGATCTCGTTTCAATCGTAACTGAAACTTTAATTAAAAATATACAATTTAATAGTCTTCTTACTTTTATCACTCTAGCTTCCAGATAATCAATCGGCGACAACCTTTTTATGTATTGTCGAAATCGGCATCTGAATAAAAACTTACAAAGCGAAATTACGCTGACCATTGAAAACGACGAGATGATCACTCACAAAAATATGCTAATAATTAATTCATCCTACACATTTTCCTTTTTTTTTGCATTTTTAAGATAAGGTTATCGTTGCAAAGGTTGCGCTGATTTGAAATTGAATCGGACCATCCTTTCCAACCCTTCTTGAGGTCAAAATCACAAAACAAAATAATTGCTGATTTAAGCAAATAAAACACTTAAATGAGTACAGAGCCAAATTCTATGCTCACAATTGCATTATAGTAAAAGGGTAGTAAAACATTATTATTACTACTGCGTACAAAACAGTAATAGATTGATAATCATACAGCCCAATCCGAATATTTATGGTTCAGGGTTTAGGTGACCGAATTGGGTTTGATACATTTCTTTTCGGATTATCTCGAATATATATAACTTCCATCTGAAGATCACATTTTATTTACTCAAAAAGTAACATTAAACAAAATGTTAACCACTAAACATATGAAATACCTATGACAATAAACAAGTAAAGATGTAGGATGTTCTAGTTTTAGGGAAATGTGAAGTTTAGCTTAGGATAGGAAAGATTGGAGGTACATGTCCAACCGGTCTTAGAACTGACGACCTTATGATGATGACATTTAACATTACGGATTATTTTAATGCCAATAAAGGGTACCCACATATATTACTCCTATTAATCTATCAGTTGAGAAAAAAATGGAATGGAATAAAGAGGCAAAGTCAAAATTGGTCTATCGCAAAATAAAAAATTTATAAGTTCTTACTGCTTATTTTTACATATAAACTTTGATCTTTATTATAAAAGGGTATAAAAAAAGATAGTAGTATTAAGGGTATGATAGTAATAAGTATATTAAGTATTTGCATTTTATTCTCATTTAGTTGTCTCTAAAAAATTCAAATTGACTAATAATGACATACCTATTTACCTAATAAAAGCTTGTCTAAATTCAATTCAATATGTGGGCATATTCTCTGTATTATACATCTGGGAGACATTAAAACAACCGGAATTACTTTCTTAAATAAAGACAAAGATTAGAAACCCATAT